TTGGTATCAATTTCTTCATTTTTAGATTGGATTTGGCTGATAGATCTAACTGAATATTCTTGTGACAGACCCTTGTCTTTAGAGAAATTGGGCGGTTATCTGTTTCCGGTCATCGTACCGTGCAATTTATGAGAGAAAACGTTAGCTTGGGCTTTGCGCTGCATAGAAATATTCCTTTTATTTTACGAGTATGATTACCCCATTTTCGTGTAAGTTTATATTATATCTGTTATTTGACTACGTGATATAACTTGGCAGATCGATCGAGTTGCCGGATAAAAGGTTCCGATCAACATTATATCTATACAGGGTGAATTGCCATGGACTCACTGCTGAGCAATAAAGATACAGAACGCGTCAAGGCTGAATGAAGGTACTGGCTGAATGACTGGAGTGTTTACAATGGATGCCGTACCAAAGGCTCTAAACATGAGTTAAATTCTTATGACTGACTTGCTTTTAAACCACACAGCCTCACGGCCAGATGGGACGTGCAAGTTTTTCCAGGCACCAACCTGCTTACAAACTGGTCTCCATGGGTCGTTTGGATGTAGCTATATTTATTCTTTATCAATTTCTCCCTCTTTCTAATATACTTGCCTGAGCCATAGCTACAAACGTTCGATTGCGAAGCACTTTGATCATTTCAAAAACTTTTCCCCTGTAAAAATTGATAAGACCAATTAGTTGGACTGTATCACGCACCGCCGAGAAAAAATCCGTGTAGTTATTTACTTAGAAAGTAAAGAAATACGACTGAGTTTCTTTTTCAGGACCCGATTGAAGGTAGAGACTGTCAGACTGGCATGGCCGAACGTAGGATCTAGTGATGTAAGAATTGACAAAAGCTAGAGGTTGGAGGTTGGCATTATCTACTTCACTATCTAATGAAGCTACACACTTGGTTTTGTTAGATCCGAGTTCAGCGGAAATAAAGGACAGTTAATACGCGAACATTTTGCGCAGCCAAAACTGGATGCTGATATGGTGTGACCTTACTTTATTTCGTTTCGCATGCATTAGTTCTATTCTGCATGCTAGCTTCATTAGCATTTTTAGCTTCAATGGCGTCCTCCCAGTGGTTATCTCGAATTGTAAATTCGTATTTCAGCAGGTAGTATGCTCCAGATGTCTGGATACTACACCAGGTGGATGTCATTGTGTTTGTACTTTTTATTTTACCAATGAGAAATGAATTCTCTTGTTTTAATTGTCATATATTTTCCTTTGAAGTAAATAATACTATGCGGAGCAAACTTGTGTAGATACACTAAGTGGAAAATAAAGTTCAGGCCAAGTTTTCTTCTCTGTAGTCACAGCAGCATTCAGAGTATGTGATTGTTTTTATTCGCTGAATAGGGCTTTGGTGACTCGACGCTGATCCTTCTTTAAGCACATGCCATCGCGTGACCTACCACTTGTGCATGTCGTCTGCACGACTTCTGCGGAGGGCCTACGCAGCCCTTGAATATCCCACGTCGTACCGGTGGTCGGAAGATAAAGTTGGCGATTTACCAAGCATTCAGTTTGCTCTGTAAAATTCTGGGTGCTTGGATATTGAATACATATAGCACGTTTGTTGTGGTGAAATGGAATCTGAATTATATAGTGGTAGCAATGCGCATATATAGTTGGCATCCATGTGATAATACTCTGTAGGTATCCGCAGTGACGGACATTTGCCAGTGTCTTACTGTTTTCGAGTATTAGTAGGTCTCTCCGTGCTTCCTCCGTCGTTTGCAGACTTTTAGGAAATAAATTGTGTGGTACTTAATATTATCAACTAAGTAGTGTGGTGTCCCATGTTCAAAAATATCTGTCTTTTCTTTGATGTACCTCAAGAATAGTGGAGGACAAAGGAAGCTAACTGGCGTCAAAACATTGGCAATGTAACGCTACAAGGCGTTTGGAAATTTAAGCTACGCGTTCCCCACCGGAACATTCAACAAAAGACCAGATCCGGACCTGAGAAAACGGTGCTATTTTTACAAATTCATCGTACCAAAGTAGAAATTACCTTAACGGTTTTCCAAACACAAAAGTTTACCAACAGATTTCAATCAGTTCCACAAAAGGTCCGTAAGCCAAGGTGCACACGAAACAAATGGACATAGAGGTGACACCGAAGTTATTGTAGAGGGGCCGCTTCCAAGAATGGCTCTGGGGAGCTCTTCGGAGCTAGCTGAGAGCGGATCGAGAAGGACGGCTAGCGACGAGCCTGGGCCCGGAACTACGGAGCGGGGATATGGGGACAGCGCAATAAAGCAGACATATACGTCGCTAGCGCAGCCCACAGGACCGAGGCCGAGCCGATTGACACAGCCCAGAACAAGCAAGTCGAGAGCTCTCGAACGACTCCTGGCCGATCCAAATCGGTTACGGAGAAGTGGGGATCGAGGCGCAAAAAGGAAGGCGGATCTTCCAAGTCAGAGCTCCCGAGGCGAAAGGACTGGCTCGTCTCTGACATCCGTACCTGTGTTGCGTTGTGGGACGGAAATCTAGTCGATATTCGATGGCGCGCGCGAGACCCTCATGTGCCCATTTTCGGTGTGCAATAAACGTCTACCCCCCTGTCGTGTCGCTTTCGCTACATTATGATAAGGCAATTGAGCCAATCGTAAGCGTCCGCCAACGGGAACGGGCTGAGGACAGACAAACCTGCCACACTGGATACATGAGTAGTGGGAACACAAAATCGCTTATGTCAAGAGAACAATGACAGGTCCATGGGGGCGGGGTGAAGTTAAGATGAGTCACCGTGGTCACTCGCTAAGAGCATCGGGGCAGAGAACGAAGGAATGTAAAGTAAGGGAGTTAGCAAACATAATCGATCCAGACGGCCGAGCAATGTAGAACTGGGCATTCAACATGGGAGAGACTGAGGTGGTCAAAGTTCTTTCTACAGGCAACATGCGGTGATAAAAAACTTCTGATCCTTATTTTTACTTTTTGAGTACGACCTGCAAATTATGATTTTACCCAGGCCTACAAGCGATCCATGACTCGAAATAGTGATATCCCAACAGATTTGTACGACGCACTCCATCAAGATCTTTCTGCATGTTTATGAAACTGATGATGACAAAGTAGCCATTATCCACATGGCTTTTCAGGCAAGACGAAATTCTTTAGCGTTAGTAGGTTGTGGGTACATTATTTAATTGGTGAATAGATGTTCACAAGCATACACGCCTTCATGGCGGCTACTCACGAAGGATGCATAGCCCCCTACCTGGTAGCAAGTACCAGTCGCATAGACACAGTACAGCGTTTCAGTAAGAAACATTGGATAGGAAATTGGCTAAGACTACATTATCGCACCGCTCAGTAAGTACGTTGCAGAATTCAAGGAAAATAGGTGGCATGGTTTTGTTGGTATATGTCCAGTTGACTAAAGTGTCGATATATAGGCAATACCGGGACCACTAAAATGTATAGTTTAGATGGGTTGAAAAACTTGCTGATATGGCAATATATTTCTGGGTGACTTAGAGCGGGGAGTAGCAGCGGTGGGACAAATTCCATCTTTGGCCGAAAGTATTCCCTGGGGGAATTGGTGCTGACGTTTACATTTATGGTTTGTCCCTAGATTTCCTTTGGGTGATTGTAGTTCGACAGCTTGCTTGGGGATGTGGACACCATATTGGTGGCCTAAAAGCTATGGGGTGAGTAGTCACGATATTTCACACTGAGAATAGACCGTAATGGCGCGTGGGTCCAGTAGGTTACGGCGCACTGGTTAGGAGCAATTTGTGGAGGATGGTCATGGCTGTTCCTCTGAGATAACCTACCTTTGCTTGGATAGATGTTCTTCCGTGTGTCAATTTTATTACCTATTTCCTATGATGAAGTTATATTTAGGGATAATATGCTTCCAATACAGCGTTAATCCAAAGCTGATTTGCTCATACGTTCTGGGTTGGTTCAACACTAGTTCGCTTTGGTGTAAGGCTATTTATTCTTCTGTTAGCGATTAATTAACTTTGCTCTTCATTACCTGAATACGTGTCATTTTAAGAGAGGCATATCCCCGTACGGATCGGCAATGTTGGAAGCTTCATCAGTTGCGCATTCTCCAGGGGATTTGTCCGTGAAATCAACGTCACCATCAGAGGTACAGATTTTGCTAATGCTGTTTCGCCAAAGGTGGTTTTTCAAATCTCGAGAGTGAGTGAACTGCTTGAGAGTAGAATATAGCCCGTGTTATTTTCTCAACTGGAAATTCTCGATCCACTCTAAGCACAGTGTAGTTAAACACATTTGTCACTATAGTCAGGGACCGATTATCAATGACTAATCATGCCTCATCTATTGTAGTGAGGTCCAGCAGCATCAAAGAATTCTGCTTTGGTATCTTCTTGTTAATACTCATGGCTATACATTTTACATCACTTAGAGAAGTATTTGATTTAACTGTGTGCCTCATATTCTCAATTGGGTACCTGCAAGTTAAAGAACTCGACATTTCTAGAGCGTGTAATTGTTACATGCACTACAGCTGCTTTAGTGACCATAGGCTAACTGAGGGTTTCCAGGTGTTTTGGCACAATAAGTAGGGGTCTGTGACTTACAATGACATTCTGTCTACTCATTGAAGCAGTAGATTAGGCCTTCCGAGAAACCCCATGTTTTTATCCATCGTACAATGAAGTTCTCCACGGAATTCCACACCAGATCACACCATCCTTAGCCTAAGCTGACCGATACTGCGCATGTTAAGTGAGAAAGTGTACGTGTCACTTCTCTCTTGGTGGTATGCTGAACTTGGTATGACTGCGCTGAGCAACGTTGCAGAAAAACTGGCACACAAAGGATGTCATCTGATACCGCAATGCTATTAATACCCTGTACCCCTTTGAACAAAAACCATTGCTTGCAGTCAAAGTAGGCCAGTATAGAGAAAAATAATGTGTTACCTTCATCCGAAGTAGAAGGCATACCGTGCTCTAGAGGGCTGCTATAAAAACGAGGACAAGAAAGGCATTCAAGTTTTAGACCAAATGCAGTTGGTTTTCCTGCTGTTGTCGTCTGCTGTCTGGTCCAGCACGCAAGGTAAGTCCATTTACGTTCAAGTTATGTAAAGTATACAAAATCTCCAACTAAGCTAGCTCCGCTAAATCATACAAAATAAGATTACGGTTATGTTCGTTACTTTATTCTACACAGAAAAATCAGAATAGTAATATGTCGCAGGACCGTGCTTCTGAGAATCGTAATTTTATCATTACAAAAAATAGAGGTCCTCATTGCTGAGTACACCAACAGTCGTCCTCAGCTTACTGTTGCAACGCCCAAATGATCTGGCCATCTCTTAGAGGAGTTAGTTATTCAGTGCCGTTCTATGGGAATCCCCATGAACTTCAATTTCAGTGAAAACTGATTGTACTTGAATGCATGTACGTTAGTTCATGGTTCCATACGAATAACCTTCAGGCCAAACCCACAGCGAAGAGGGAGTTTCAAACAAATTATTCATATACATGGCCTCCTCGTCTGACGACTGATACTACTGTGAATACTGGGCGATCACGGTACTTGTAAATTAGCGTTATCTGTTCCAAGCAAATTCACGTCGGCCAAATGATGAACACAGCGCTATACTTAACAACATCATAACAGCACTGAGTACTCAAGTGAGCTCACAAGAGTAAGGGAATGTTTGCCATTTTTAGAAACAATCTTGTGATTGCCGGTGTTTCAGCGTTCCTCCTCCCAACGCTGACAATTTACAGTTTGTAATTGTTTGCGTGACATTCTAATAATCTGTTACAGTTGACCTGCAACGCAAGTGCATACCACCTAGGCGTTCTTATTGGTCACACAATCAACTTGTTACCGATTACACAAGCGACTTAATAAGTCTGGAGGCGAAATCAAACCGATGGCGATGCATAATGCACATAATAGGAAAAGTTTGCGTACGCGCCAGGGTTTGCAATTATCCTGATTTAATCTTTAATTCAAACTAATAAATATGATATTTATCTGATTCTATTCTTGTATTCGGTCTACAATGATGGTTAGTCCTTGTCCGCTTATACTTACAAGAAACAAACTGTATTGGTACAGTGTAGTTGTCATTTTACACAACGCCTTTGGGTATTTGCAACCTCCATTGTAAAAGGTACGATGTTTTAGACTACACAGGCCGGCGGTACTAAATAACCTCATTGTGAACAATGAACAATGAACAATGATTTATAACGGGTAAAAAGCAGGTGCTTAACATATCCCGTAGCGTGTTTAGCGTGACAAAAAATGATAGCAAAGGGAAATGGTGTTGTCGGTTCGGGCGATTACAGATTTAACTGCACTGTCGTATAAAGGGAGTTTGAAATGAAAATGTACGCACACAAAGCCAGAAGGGGAGTGGTTATTGATCACATAATAGGCGAGAAAATAAAATAGATAGCAAGGACAATGCTTACTCGTGTGCAAATATCTTGGGTTCACAGGATACAGAAATCCAGATTCTATAGTAGTAGCGTTTATCAAATTTCGTGCAAGGTATTTGAAGTGACTCATTCTCGAGTACGATTATGGCGCTATCCCCTGTCTGTTGTGCGTTAGTGCCAACACCTGGTGGTCATGAGCTATAGCACGTAGTGTAAATGTGACAGAGTAGCTTCAAGGCGTTTTTTGAAAAGGGATATGGTGGGTGCGTCAATCACATGTTCCGAGAGGGCTGTGTCACTCGAAGGGAGAAATAGTTTCGCCGACATTCCAGGCGGCTGTACTGCGTGACTAACTTAAACTTGTGACCGCTTAGCGAGGTGTTTTGACTGAGTATTAGAAGGGAATGGCAAGGGTGGTTGGGGTTTCTCAGGATCTGGTACACCATTATGAGATCGCCTCCTCAGACGCCGATAACGTCCACTGTATATTTTGAGGGTCTTCAGCCTGAGTGAGTAGGGGTGGCTAGTCAAACCTCTGACGCTCTTCGTTGCCCTACGTTGTTCAGCATCGAGCGCGGTGAGATGGTGCTTGAGCCAGGGTTGCCACGCTTGGATAGCGTATTCCGCTTGCGGCCTCACGTGCGCACTAAGCATTTTTGGAAATACTGAAGGGTCAAATTTCCAGAAAGCTCTGTGAAGAAGGCCAAAGTGCTGGTTCGCCTTCTTAGATGCCTTTTCAGTCTACCTCAAACAACCGAGGTCGTCTTGCATTATCACGCCGAGACCGCACTCGTGAGAAGTCCGCTGTAGAATGTGTGGTCCTAGGCGGTACTTGTGCATACTCTTGTGCCGTATACTGAGAACTTGGCACTTGGTGTTGTTGAAGTGCAGCATGTTCTCGATGGATCATATGTACGCTTTGTCCAGGTCCTCCTGTAACACTGTGTGATCCTCCACTGCAGCTATAGTGCGCCATACATTTAGGTCATCAGCAAATATCAAACAGTCAGAAGATAGCATACGTGCGAAATCATTTACGAAAATCAGAAACAGGCGGGGTCCAAGTACCGAGCCTTGAGGTACGCCGCACTGAACTTCGATGGATTCTGATAGGTTGCTTCTAACCCTCACATTCAGGTGACGTTGCACGAGAAAGTCTCCTATCCAGCCCAGAACAGGATCGCCGATTCCATTTTTCTGGAGTTTGTGGAGGAGAATGCGATGGTCTCTGCGGTCGAATGCCTTTGCGAAATCCAAGTAGGCCGCGTCGACTCCAACATCAGCGTCCACAGATTCCGTCCAGCTTGTACGAGCAATAAAGAGATTAGTTGTACAGAAGCAATTTTGGCGAAATCCATGCTGTTCCGAAACGAGAATTTTGTTGTTCCCTAGGTACTCCATCAAACCCTCAGCTACAATGGACTCTATAACCTTGGAGATCACAGGAAGTAGTGTTATCGGGCCATAATTTGTTGGTCCAGCTCGGCTACCACTTTTGTAGACAGGCGTGATGATTCCGTGCTTCCACATCGTGGGGACGTGCATCTCGTTCAGACATCGTTGAAAGGAAATTGCTAATGTTCCTGCCAAACTCATGGCAGCAACTTTCAACGCCTTCGGGCGAATGCCGTCCGCACCCGGGGAGCTGAACTCGCGCAGAGACATCAGCCACTTCAGTACAGCTGCGGAGGTGAACGATATGTGATTAAGCCCTGATGGCGGCGTTATCTGCTTAGGCAGGATGTATGATGATTGCACGCTTTGGAAGGTACGGCCAAATTGTTGTCCAAGGACGTTGGCCGCCTCTTGTGCGGTTTGGGCTAAGCCGCATGCTGTGTGCAGAGCAGGAATACCGCTGTTAACACGGCGTAAATTGTTTACGTGTCAGTATAGCAGTTTGGGATTGGAGCAAAACTTTTCCATTAGACCTTGTTGGTTCTTAAGTTTATCCTCCCGGACGAGTTTGACACTGGTTGCTTTGTACTGTGTAGACATCCCAGGTATGGTTGTTCGGGGAGGCTATGTATGTGTGCCACGCAAAGATGTCCTTGCCTCGAGCTTGGTAAATATGTTGACGAATTCTCCGCAGGCCACCTCAGGGGTTAATTCAGCTAAGAACGACCAGCTGGTTGCATCAGTGAGGTCGGATAGATCGTTATAGTTGGTTACGAATGATATTCCTCAGCATGCTCTTTAGGATAATCCGCGTAGCGCATGTAATGAAACACTAGTGTCGCATGATCACTGCGGCCCAAAGGAGTATTGTTATCTCCCTCTCGATCATCAGTTCTTCATTGGTAAATATTCGGTCCAATATGGATGGCCTGTCAGTTCCCCTGAACCTGGTGGGCGTAGTGGCGTGGCCATAAAGCGGGAAGTCTGAAACCAGATCTTTCAAATCTGCTTTGAATTGCTGTGCTGGTGTGGCATGGGATTCGAGAGAACGTAAGTTGCAGTCACCGGTGACTAGAATGTGACTGTACTTCCTCTTTATAACTTGCCTCAACGTAGCCATCAAATTGCAGTCCATCTCAGGAGTAGATGATAGTGGGCGGTAAACAACAACCAATAAGCAAGATTGTTCCCTCTTAGCCGGAAATTACACCAAATGGTGTCAGGTACGTCGGGTTCCGAATCGTTTATGGGTTTGCATTGCATGCTGTTACGAAAGTAGAAGGCTACTCCACCACCTTTGCTCTTTCGATCCTTCCGGACAACGGACATGACCGTTGGTGCGATTTCAGCATCCGTGGATAAAAATGGTTACTCAAAATTCACTAATGAGTCAATTTCAGTGTCTGACTTACCTTGAAGTGCATTGCTTGTCACTTGTGTCCGGCTGATACACAAAAAGGTAATGGGCAATAGGGCAATACTGCAATTCGTCAGTGGTGATACACAAATTTCTGTTAGATAGTGATAACTTGAAACCCAGATTGGGTACGTCAGCTGTCTCATCTGTTGCTAACCATTGGAATGAGTACGTCATTCACCTAGATAAGTGCAGGCATAAATGTACCAAAGTGGATCCCAAGGAGTTGATTAAGCAGATCATGTGAACTAACAAACTGATTCATGTTTAGTTTCTGGCTGTACCTCTAAAAATGACAGATTATTCCGGAGAACTTTAAATGCTCACCAATGATCAGCCCATGAATTCGAATTATGGATCCCACTCTTTCAGCTTGTTCCGGTATTGCGAAGGTGGAGGTCATCGCACTGCTCCCCTCTACAGCCTATCGAGATGATACACTGCCAACGATTTGTGACAGGGTAAGCCGTTTTCTTCTATATCCCAATATCTGTGATCAAATAAGAGAGATAACAGTAAGTTTCCCAATCGAGAAACCAGTCCCCTACTTGTGTGCTTGCTGCTGTCACAAAACGCTTTCTGTATAATCTTCCTAGTCAATGACAGCGCCATACTAATAAATACTGATAAGACACGAATACAAATATAGACTCAAACAGTAGGGGTATCTGAGCGGCGACCCACGAATGCAGAATATCCAAGACATGGTATTTGGCCTTGATGAAAGTAGTTTTGCTTGATTTGTTTTCGTCGCTTGACCATATTTGCTCTCAAAAGCATAAAGGCGCGAATATTTATTCCTATCTCGTTCGCTGTGTATCAGGATTTAAGACGTCCCTCACATGGCTACCACACATGAAAGTAATCCACGTCAAACTGCTCACCCACCATACTGGAGCTCACGTTCTGAAGGCACTACTCAAAGTGTGAAATCCAGTGAATTGATAAAGGTCGACAGCTTAGCACTGAAAAGTAAGCCCAGGTCTATTGAATTTAAATGGGTAGAATGAAATATCAAACTATTCTTCAACCAGGGGAGTCAAATTTTGTCTTAATGGTCTGAAAGAGGATTTGGACACATCAGTTTCTAGCTTAAAATGCTGATATCCACTTCTAGCTACCTGGTAACCGTCTACCTAGTTTGTTTAATGTTGGCCGGTCATTTGCATGAGTAGACAGAAGGCCTGACAATCGCCACAGCCTCCATCTGTTAAGATCCAATGAGTCGCAGAGACAAATCAGAATTTGCTCAGGTTAGAGTGAATGACGCATAGCTTGATCAAAAACAGAGACAAGTTGACTTGTTCCAAATAGCCACGACTGGGCGGAGCGTGTACGACATGGGTTCTAATCTAACGGCACAAAGTGCCGTGGCAGCCGCTTCAGAAAACAAAAGGATATGGCGGGTGACTATTAGAGCGAAAGCGAATGAGTTGCCGCCCCCCAACTTGATTTGACCATCTACTCGCAGACTAAATACAAAAGGTATTGACGCTGCAAATCGCTAGTCAATTTGGATGTGATAGTGACCAGTGGCAGTTACAGTCAGCTGTTTCTGCACGCAGTTGCGTCCGTACTCTATCAATGACGATGACTTCTGTAGCGCTCGGAGGATGTGGAGCTCCTGATTGCGTAGCTGGACGACGAACGACTCATCACGTTTGATTTGGTGGCTGTGTAACCACCTGTGAAGTAACTCATTGCTGTTGACACCTAAACTTCGGTTGGTGTGCCAAACACTGCTATCTTCACAGCCATAGTTAAATTTGCATAGTCACTGGGTCATGCACCGCATTGTTGTCAATCTCAAGCTAACAAGTAACTTCAGAATCGAAGCTAAATCCCTGTGGCTGAACATCACTGTACTACCCGTCGTATCACTGCAGTCCCTATTACTTCTTCTTGTTACCGTTGTTAAGGCCGTTTTGTTCTTGTGCTCTATGGGTTCTAACAGACACGCGTTTACTCTTCATTTAGTTTAACCAACACCATTGCATTAACTCTAGTTCTCGTAGATACTTTGCCTTCATTGACTGACAAACAATCCTCAGTGGAGCACCGTCGAAGGGCTTTATACACTCTAAAGTCGAAAAATGTCTGACTGATTAAAGTTTGATATCAAGCGAATGGGTTCTTCAGGAATTAACAAGTCTCGAGCGTTTCAGCAATCTACTTGGCAAGTGTTTTAGCAAAGAGTCTATTGTCGAGTTTGTCGAAACAATTGAAGCATCTGCACTAAGGTTGCAGCCAATTGAAACGTATGCACTACTCAGATCTGGCACGTTACCGTAGAATACCAAGCCTATGCGGCCTTATGCGGCCGATTAAAGAGATGAAGGATGAACTCGTTGTCCAGCGTCTCATCACAGTCATTGTCTTAAATTCTGACGCGGTCTTTTCGAAATTAACCGCATTGGTCACACCTCTCACTTTAGTCATGCGGTTGAGCACTCCATTGCCAACAGGTTCACTACATTAACTCTACAGTAACACTCCTCCATCTCTACAATATGGCTCCAGGGCTTGGCAAATGCTCCTAGATGATCCGCTTAGCCGGAAGCTGACTTGGCTCTATTGGGAGAAATATTTGAATGGATGGTACGTGGATATTACAACGGAGTTCACCCCTTAAAATGGGCAACGTCACTCAAAACATCCGGTACAACTATAACCTGCTATTTTAAACCAATCCATGACACACAACGCTTGCGCTTCAATTTTCTAATCGATGTAGACAAGCAGGTAACAACTGATTAACACGTGGAAAAATGATATTTTGATATGTTCGACAAAATTTGTGTTACATACGCCAAAGAAGAAAGTACCTAGGATTTCCTTGGTATCTACTCCTTTCATTTTAGATCAGAAATGATCACACTTGCGAACACCACAGCGTTATAATCTTCGAATGTCATGACAAGTACTCGGCAAACATTTACGATGATTTCGTGTTCAATGCCAATCTAACGGTGGTCACGCAACAAGCGCCATCCCAATACAATATGGACGTAATACAATGGCAAACCAATCACAACCTTATGGAGTCACTTGGGAAGATATCGTGGGCACAATCAATTGTCAGCTATCCAGGAACAAGCCACAGATGTGGTGAGTGTGTTCGTGATCTATTTCTTCACGGAACATGATGATGCTCGTTAGTGGTGATATCTTCGTAATCAGAATTTAGTTGTAAGTAATTACACATGCAGTTTTCACGCAGAAATGTGAAGCGTAAAGCTGAATTATTTTATAGTGTATTCCACGTTCTGATGTTTCGTGTGCAACCAACGACCTTCGCTATCATATCCAAACCATGTACGAAATCTTGTGTGTTACCTGCATCACGAGTACGAAGGTGCTTTGGCACATAAGCCCTTCATGGCGCCACCCACTTTAATTTACCGCTTTACGGAGGGAATGGAAATCTTAAGATCAGTTAGTTGTCGTTTTCGATTAGAACCGCTTCTTCACTACCCACTAGTGATTTAGGGAAATCATTTGGCTAACTGTGCGATGCACATGTCAATCCGTCAGCCGTAATGTGGGTCTGACATACTTGCATTTCTTGTAGTTCACATCGCTGACGGATGGAAAATCGCTCCCACCGCATGCTTGGTGTTGAGAAGTTTACCAGGGTTGTACTACTTAGATGATCGTGCAAATGAGTATGTGAGCAGTGTCAGGAGCTGTATAGGATAAGAAAAATAATCTGCGCTACACGATTCTCAGCCACTTGCCATTAAAATATCCCCGTAGTTTCTCTAAAACAAAAGGTTTACAGCGGCTTTTACACTCTAGCTCCAACGATATTCCACACGAAATAACAAATTTACTCTATGTACAAAACTACAACACCAACAGAATCAATAATTAGGGTCTCACACATTCAGATGTACATTCCTATTAATCAGGTTAAGAGGTGCATGTATCCAACAATAAGACAAAACACAAGTAGTTGAGTTGTGAATTACACTGAGCAAAAAGCTTATCCAACACTAATCCCTGTGATTGGAACATTTCCTGCGCACAGATGTAGAGCGGATCTTGACGTCATCCCCGTTTGGGCGGTTAATAGGGAAGGAAAAATAAGATTTGCGGTACAATAAGATGCCCTACAGTTTATTATCCAGTAAGCATATAGGAAGGCCAATAAAAGAGAAGGGGTTCATAGATGAAACATTTAATGAAAGGGCAAGCAGAGAAGTTATACTACCCAATGCTGCAGTCATGCGTTGAATGTATGATTGCACTATTGTACCCGTCCGCAGGCTCGAAGTCAGTTAACGTACTCCTGGAGGGGGGTTTCCATGTACGTTTTCCCAATGCTTCTGCAGAAAGGAGCATACATTGGCTAACTTTAAAGCCTTTGCATATGAAGGTCATAACATGCTAGGAACCCCGAATAGCCGGAAGGCATAAATCAGAAATATTCCTGGGGCTTAAACCGGATGCGAATTTCTCGAATATGTGTCTGCGTTCCGGGATGACCAAGAGCGAGAGAAAGACGAAGGGGGCCTCACGAACTTCACGGTTATCGTCTTGTGCCTTCCAAACCATAGCCCTGACAAAATCTTTATCATACCTAACAACATTTTGTTCCATCTACAGTTCAGTTGGTTTCGCAGAGCGACTGCCACGTCGGTCGAAATCAAGCCTTGGCCCTTTAGATTAACAAAATGTGGTCTAGGGTGCGTCGAACCCACAGGGATAAGAGGTTCAATGAGGGTGCGAACGCCATGCACCCGCACAATTTTCTGGAGGTAATTCAAAGTTCGAGCGTGGTGAGAACACTGGGCATTATGTGTAATACTGTACTGCGGCGGAACATGGTCAAAGGATTCGTCCTACTCTCTCTCACATGCGTAACCCTTATCGGCTTAACTTCTTGTGGCATCAGAGCTAACGCGGACCTTTGTATACAAAACACCACTCACAGCCGCATAGCCTTTGTATACAGTCGCGGAAATACATGCTTACTACACTCGAGCCTTATATTTTTCATGCTATCCTGAAGCTTCGGAGGAAAAAAGCAATAATCCGACGACCTCATAGAGACTGAAGCCAGTGCATCACTTTATCACCTAACCTCAAGAGCATGTTAACGGTATGAAGATAAGTGCGGGCTGCCTGCTAAACCACTCGTCCGGAAAAATCGTGAAGCAAGTAAGGTTATCACTGTGGCCGAAGATGATTCTTGCAGAACAGGACGGAAATACAAGTGCTTCGTTATGTTACTAGGACAGATATAGGCAATGATGGTGTGGCTAGAGCGCAGAAGCCAGTGGCATATCTCCATACGAAACATTCGGTCCATGCAAATTAGAGCGTTATGGTGGGAATTACCAGCGATCAACTCGAAAGCCAGTTCGGGTATTGCATAATGCATCAGCTGTACTAGTCGTTGATTTTATTACACGGGTGCTTCCTTTATCTAATCCAAAGTGTAACCAAGCCTTGAAATGTTCTTGACTTTCCATGCAAACACTAGCCCAATATATTTAATGTCAACCATCCACCCATTCAGAGAGACAAACATGTAAGCAACAAGCTTATATAGGCTATGAAGAATAACAAGGTGATTGGAGATGGAAATTGGTTATTGCCCACCCGAAAAAACCGCACAACCACGACGCGTTTCGATGTAATTTCATCTTATCAAGTGGAGACAGCAGGCCTCGATCCCGCGACCATTGGAATAGTAGCCGAAACCTCTACACCTTTGGCTACTGGGTCCCGGTGGGCAACGCTTTTTGGCACAACGGTAATGACTAACTGGAGGGTCAAGTTTGGACTACACGTTGTGTGATTGGATTGCTACGCGCAATCTCAATGTGATGGAGGACTGTGGTTCACATTGAAGTGAACCTTAGTCACGGCGATCACTGGGACAGTCTATCGCATTGAGATTGCGCTTCGAAATCCAATCACACAACGTGTAGTCCAAACTTGACCCTACAACAAGGTGATTGGAGATCTTACTGATTGGTGATAATATGAGATATTGGAATATCCAGTCGACTAGATCTAACTGTAACCACAACCAATCCCAAACTGCCATACAGACACGTAAACAATTTACGCCGTGTTAGGCGCGGTATTCCTGTTCTGCACACAGCATGCGGCTTAGCCCAAACCGCACAAGAGGCGGCCAACGTCCTTGGACAACATTTTGGCCGTACCTTCCAAAGCGTGCAATCATCATACATCCTGCCGAAGCAGATAACGCCGCCATCAGGGCTTAATCACATATCGTTCACCTCCGCAGCTATACTGAAGTGGCTGATGTCTCTGCGCGAGTTCAGCTCCCCGGGTGCGGAGGACTTTCGCCCGAAGGCGTTGAAAGTTGCTGCCATGAGTTTGGCAGGAACATTAACAATTTCCTTTCAACGATGTCTGAACGAGATGCACGTCCCCTCGATGTGGAAACACGGAATCATCACGCCTATCTACAAAAATGGTAGCCGTGCTGAACCAACAAGTTATGGCCCGATAACACTACTTCCTGTGATCTCCAAGGTTATAGAGTCCATTGTAGCTGAGGGTTTGATGGGGTACCTGGAGAACAACAAAATTCTCGTTTCGGAACAGCATGGATTTCGCCACAATCACTCCTGTACGACTAATCTCTTTATTGCTCGTGCAAACTGGACGGAATCTGTGGACGCTGGTGTAGGAGTCGACGTGGTCTACTTGGATTTCTCAAAGGCATTCGACCGCATAGACCATCGCATTCTCCTCCACAAACTCCAGAAAAATGGAATCGGCGATCCTGTTCTGGGCTGGATAGGAGACTTTCTCGTGCAACGTCACCTGAATGTGAGGGTTAGAAGCAACCTATCAGAATCCATCGAAGTTCAGTGCGGCGTACCTCAAGGCTCGGTACTTGGACCCCGCCTGTTTCTGATTTTCGTAAATGATTTCGCACGTATGCTATCTTCTGACTGTTTGATGTTTGCCGATGACCTAAATGTATGTCGCACAATAGCTGCAGTGGAGGATCACACAGTGTTACAGGAGGACCTGAACAAAGCGTACACATGGTCCATCGAGAACATGCTGAATTTCAACGTCACCAAGTGCCAAGTTCTCATTATACGGCACAAGAGTATGCACAAGTACCGCCTAGGACCACACATTCTACAGCGGGCATCTCACGAGTGCGATCTCGGTGTGATAGTGCAAGATGACCTCGGTTGTTTGATGCAGACTGAAAAGGCAGCTAGGAAAGCGAACCAGTACTTTGGCCTTCTTCACAGAGCTTTCGGGAAGTTTGACGCTTCAGTCTTTCCAAAAATGCTTAGTGCTACGTGAGGCCGCAAGCAGAATACGCTATTCAAGCGTGGCAACCCTGGCTCAAGCACCATCTCACCGCGCTGGACACTGCACAACGTAGGGCAACGAAGGGTGTCAGAGGTTTGACCAGCCTCCCCTACTCACTCAGGCTGAAGACCCTCAAAATATACAGTGGACGTTATCCGCGTCTAAGGAGCGATTTCATAATGGTGTACCTAATCCTGAGAGACCCCAACCACCCTTGCCATTCCCTTCTAATACTCAGTCAAAACACCTCGCTAAGCGGTCACAAGTTTAAGTTAGTCACGCAGTACAGCCGCCTGGAATGTCGGCGAAACTATTTCTCCCTTCGAGTGGCACAGCCTTGGAACGCCCTCTCGGAACATGTGATTGACGCACCCACCATATCCCTTTTCAAAAAACGCCTTGAAGCTACTCTGTCACATTTACACTACGTGCTATAGCTCATGACCACCAGGTGTTGGCACTAACGCACAACAGACAGGGGATAGCGCCATAATCGTACTCGAGAATGAGTCACTTCAAATACCTTGCACGAAATTTGATAAACGCTACTACTATAGAATCTGGATTTCTGTATCCTGTGAACCCAAGATATTTGCACACGAGTAAGCATTGTCCTTGCTATCTATTTTATTTTCTCGCCTATTATGTGATCAATAACCACTCCCCTTCTGGCTTTGTGTGCGCACATTTTCATTTCAAACTCCCTTTATACGACAGTGTAGTTAAATCTGTAAGCGCTTGAACTGAAGACTCCATTATCCCTTCGCTATCATTTTTTGTCACGCTAAACACGCTACGGGATATGTTAAGCACCTGCTTTTTTACCCGTTATAATTCATTGTTCATTGCTCATTTATTTCGCATACCTACTTCATCAATCGCAAATGTTTCCAAGTCGGCTGCATAAGCTAACGTGCCTACATTCCAGCTAGCAAATCCCATTCCTCCCCTCGGTCGGATGCGACTGAGGACCGCCTCCATTGCCACGATAAAGGGCAGAATCGACAAAGGGTTACTTTGATGCATGTTACGGCAATACCTCGTTTTCGCATCGAGCAAACTATCACAGTTTGTGCATAGTCCGAAACGGACATTTTGGCGCACCATAGTGAATGTCCCGAGTTCCCTCGGAGTGGCAGTTTGCTCTCCATAAGCAAACCTACAAAATAGTTCCGCTGTGCAGTCCATCGCCCCTATACTTGCCATATTAGCATCATAAGTGCTGTGGTTAATATCAGAGGTCCAAAATTGGCGGAGCTTATTTGAGGCTCGGAGGCTCAGAGTATTCACCGAATTGAAAGGACAAGGATGTTATCCAAATTAATAGGCAAAACAACTTTAACTGGGCGGTAGCCCTGAGAAGGCTGCCAGCGCATATGAGGTTCGTCAATTACATGAGTGGTGGAAGTATGTGAACAGGCAACAGAGACAGGTATACTACGGCATTCATTGTTATCTGGTTTACTTGTAAGATTTTCTTATTTTGCTAATGAACCCGATCTAAGGCTAAGAACACTGCACATTCGCTTGCTTTCAGATGGAAGGATGAAATCTGGCAACGCAATCCGAATGCGTAAGTCATAACTAGGAAACTGAACAGATTGATTGTTAAATTCATTCTAACTTTTATTAATATTTGGGCCCAACTCAAGCTCATGCCTTGACTATCAGACAACTTGCCGGTGACACGCACCCAAACATAGGGCTTGGAACGAGTTAGCAGCTGAGACGATAACGGGTGCTGGCAGGAATGTAGTGAAACGTTTTTTGGCACAGTGAACCAAACTCAGTTAGGCTGATACTTCCTTTAACACAGAAAGCTTGTGGGATACACCGCTCAGAGAATCTGCAAGTTTTCGTCCGCGTCGACTACTTGCATATGTGTCAAGTAGATGAACTTAAATGTAACGTAAAATTCACGATCATGAAAATTAGCTCAACTAGATGGTATTTTTCATCATACAAATCCATATCCATATCGTGAGCATCTACAGAAGCGGCAATGGCCTGTGTGAACAGCAATGGTATTCGATCCTCCTGAGACGCGGCGAACTCCCCGTGCGTGTTGTGTGTCGCAGTCCACTGAGCTTCAACTTGGACCGGTTGCCTCATGTGCGCAACCACACGAGTCATCCGCATTTCCTGCTCATGGGCGATTTCAACTTTCCTCGAATACGATGGCCCTAGGTCAAACTTCTGCTACGGCTATTGCGAAGTTGAGACGAAAGTTACGGAGATGATGTTTGCAAATAGGAGCAACACATCAATCAGCTGGTAGGCATCATCACGCACAGGATTCCATCGTGCCTGGATTTGTTGCTGACCAACTGCTTTCAACAAGTGCATGACATGCCGGTCCTAAAGCGCCTGGTAGCTAGTGATCGTTTGATGGTCAAGGTGACCTTTGAGCTGCCACTGCTGTTTACTCCTCCGCAGGAGTCAGCCTTCAACTACTGGATTTGTGCCCCACGAATATAGGAAAGCTGGGCCTGTCAAGCCACACTGCTCTGACAAGGAATATGGCATACTGGCTCGATGGCGACGCCTGCTATGGACTGAATTCGTGCAATCTGGGTCTGCCGAAGTTTATGAGGCATACAAGAGGTAATGAAGTGTCTGCAACGGTGCAAAAACAAGCAAGCACCAAAGCTTCGAATAGTTGCTTGCAACCGCAGCAAAACTGCTCCCAAGATGATCTTTGCACTCGTGAAGCGACGCCTGAAGCCGACAGTTGATCTGTCCGTGTTGGAGGGCTCGGACGTACAGCCCTTAGTTTCCAGCAATGAGCCTGCTTCCGCATTGGCGTCGCACTTAGCTTCCGACATTACAGCTAACCAAGCGTCCGTACCTGAGTTCGACGCATATCACCCCTACCGAGCTGGACAGCCTGGATTTCAGCGTTGAGGATGTGCGCATATTGCTCGCCGGTCTTGACGGTACAAAGCCTGCCGGGTCTGATAGGCTCTAACCGCTGAGCCTCAAATCGCTATCGACCATCATCTCGCCTTTCCTGACTGAGCTGATCAACAGGTCGTTGTCCCCCGGTTCATTACCGAGCTGCTAGAAATGCTGATTGGTAAAACCGATTCCGAAGGGCGGCGATTGGAGCAAGGTGCACAACTACCGGCCGATATGCCAGACATCTGGTTTGGCTAAGACACTCGAGAGGATTGTGAAGCGTTGTCTTCTGCAGCATCTCGAGTCGAAAAGCATCCTAACGCCAGCGCAGTACGATTGCATGAAAGGTCGGTCATACATTACGAACCTGATGCTCTCGAGCCACAAATGGTTGCAAGCGCTAAACCAAGGTTGACGTCATACATATCGACTTCAGTAAAGCGTTTGACAAGATAAACCATGAGATTCTGCTTCGGAAGCTGAAGATGTGCGATGTTGCTGGCTCACTGCAGCAGTGGATCAGTGAGTTCCTTGTTGGTCGGAAGTGGAAAATGCAGCTGCACAACCACTTGACCCAGTGGCATGTCTCGGTCACTAGCGTCTCGCAAGGCACAGCCTTTGGGCCCATTTTCTTCCTGATTCACATCAACGATTCGCTTCAACTTCTCAGTTCATCATTCACGTTGTTTGCAGATGACCTTAAGGTATGGAGAGTAATTGAGGTGCCCGACGTCTGTGACCTGCTTCAGCGTGACCTTGACCGCCTTCCCAAGTGCTCAGGAAAACTCAACGTTCCGCTCAACCCGTTCAAGTCGGTATTCATGAGCCTGAGCAAGGATAGTAATGGTCGAGTCTACACTCTGGCCGGCCAGCAGTTTCACCCACCACCATCCGCAAAGGATTGAGCGGGTACAGCATGTGGCTACTAGGCTCATCCTGGGTTTACGAGGTGTGCCATGTGAAGACCGATGCAAGAGACTAGGGTTGACCACATCATGAAGCACAGGATATTACATCTGGTTGATGACCCCATGTTGAGGCCGCTGCTTCATCTACGCACATCAAACAGCACATTGGGACATTGGTACAAGCTTGTCGCACAGTAGTTAGTGTGGGTCGCTTGCCAACTCTGCTTCGAGCGCAGGCTGTCGAATATTTGGAGCAACCAGCCTGCAAACATAGTCGAAGAAAACTCGATGTCAGAGCTTAAGAGACTCCCGGACTCGCACTTTGCCGACTTGAGATTTCGTGAACACATACCATCAAAATAGGTAGCTTTGCGGAAAAGATATTAGATGTAGCTACACAGAGGCATCTCTACTCGCTGCATTTTATCACTATCCAGTATTCAGCCATGAATACGGCGCTATTTCAGCTTCGATGCACAAACTGCCAGATTAGTCTAACCGGCAGTTGCGATTACTTTAAGAAGACGATATGTCCGAATTAATGACAAACACAAGCTCTAAGTATGCACCGGCATCTATGATGTAGCGCAGACGTTTGCGTTGTTTGCGGCTTTGCGGATTTAAGCTATATGGGAGATTATTGTTGCTAATCCCACAGCCTCCTTGACTAGGATTCAGTGAAATGTGTGATAATAACCCCGGGCCACTGCGACTAAGGGTCGCGATCCAGAAGCTTCTCTAGACTTCGTATTGGCCAGTTTGCTCACCTAGCACATTTGTTTCTACATTTCGGTCCACTGGCCCATTGGTTACTTCACATGCATCTGAGTTGATTCCATTGACTATGATTGGTCGTATTGTCCTGACGACGAATCACTGAAGACCAGTGTCTTCGCCGGATAGTACCTCTTAATTTACTATTACAAACCAACCTGTGACATCCTCCAAGGATTCGTCTATCGACTCTTTCTGACGGGATGAATATGTGGCACGTCATGCGAATGCATCTGCAGTGTTTTAAACAGAATATCAAAATGTTGACTTTGAATTACTTAACACAGAACAAATAACTATGTGCATTTACCTTCGTCCATCATCCTTTTTTCAAAACGCCATCTGCAGGATTCCGGATGGTCGGAGAATATTCTGAAAATCCGTGTAGCATGGTAAGTAATGACCTTGAGAGAATTTATTTTTATGAACACTCAAGGAATACGTGGATGCGTGCACGAAATGGGAAGCACGTCATGCGGAGTTATTCGGCAACCTGAATGAAAAAATGACGCTTTTTGTTTTGGTCAGCAGGTCTGAGGTAGCGACACTCAACTCCCTCCTTACTTAAAATACGCACATACATTGCCTACCATACTATTACTTTGCTGATGAGAGCACCCACTACAACTATGAGGGTAAACATGAACAAAAAATGTCTGTTATTCTTTATTAACCCACAGGTATTTGTATATGTTACGCTGGTAGTTATATCTATTACTCTGATATTTGTATAGTTTACTCTGGTACTTGTATCGTGTAGGTTTCGCTCAATTTATCACCATTACCGTCACATCTGCTAAGCTATCAGTAATGACAAAGCTGAATTCCTGTGGCATTTGTTGCAACATAGTTGGTCAAATAGCCAATGCTGTTACACGCCTCATGCGTGGTGTGAATTTCCACATTTCGTGTATTGGTTTGCCTTTAGATCATGTTAAACTACTGCGTGAAATCCAGCCTGACTTTATTCAAATATTGGGCAGCTAATGCCAAGCCACTATGCAGTCACAAATAGTGGAGAAGCCGCGCGAAACGTTCCATAGGGAGGAGCTTCGTGGAATCATCCAAGCAAGCAGAAATCCAGCCACCTCTATGTTCGCACGAGCCCACCTACACCCCGGCTGCAGGCTTTTCAGAGCCATGTCCACCCGTTGCTAGCGACTCAGCTGGCGTGCCTGTGATGTGTCCTAAGGGCACTAACATACCGGTATAGGACAGCGCAGGAGATGAAGGCCAATGGAGAGGGCATCGAAGCAAAAAAGAGAACAAGACTGTCAGCAATCAGCGGCTTTTAACCTTATGACATTTCATGTGCCTGAGTCGACGGATACCAGTCTCAGGCTCGTTATGATCGCGATGTGAACTTCCTGCAGAGTCTGATTAATAGGCTTCTCGACATGAATGAACAAGGGTTGCGGGTGAAACAAACCACCCGTCCTGAAAGGAGAGAGGAGGGGAAGTCCCGGCCTCTGCGAGTCATGTTTGTTGATGCAACGAGTCTGACGCTGCTATTGTCCCGACTCGTTAGGCTAGAAGGTCTAATGATCCATATTCTTCCCGATTTGGATCCGTCGGACAGAGCGAAACTGAAGCCCCCTATCATGGAGTTGAAGCGGCGGTTCCTATTGCGGCCTGCGCGTAGCCATCACCAATTTCCGGAGTTTACTGGATAAACGTGACGATGTATTTCACTTCGTTGCCTCTCATCATCTGGACGTACTAGGACTAGCCGAAACTTAGTTAAATCCTGGGGTCACTAAGCAGGAATTCCAGATCAGTGGCTACTCGTGCTTCCGGTGCGAAAGATTATCAAACGATAGAGGCGGTGTGCTGTTACACATTCCGCCCTCGCTGTGCGGGAGATTGGCACAGACCGTCCGCAGCGAAGATGGCCTGTGCGAACAGTTATGATGCTCGATCCGCCTGAGACAGGGTGAACTGTTTGTGGGTACGGCTTATCGCGGCTCGCAAAGTCGATGCATGGATTGGTTGCCAAATGTCAAAAACTACATTAGTCGGCCTCGCTTCCCGCTTATGGGTCATTTTAACTTCCTTCGAATACGGTGGCCTGAGGCACAACTTCTTTTCGGGCACTGTAACATAGAGGCGCAGTTGGTGGAGATGTTATTTGAAAGTGGGGCAGCACAACAAGTCTGCCAACCGACGCGCGTTACACCGTATTCCACTCCATCGTGCGAGCAACGTTGCGAGCAACGTGTACATGAAATTCAGGTCTTAAAGCTTCTGGCAGCTAGTGACCACTCGATGGTGTTAGCTAGCCTAGAGCTGCCGCTGCCCTACTCGAATCAGCAGGAGCCGTTCTACAATTAATGGAAGACCGATTTAGATGATCTAAATCGAAGCGCCAGTGAACTAGACTGGTCGCTGCCGCAGTATTCACCCGTTGAAGCATGTTGATCTGCTATAAAAGAGGGTGTTCAATCGTTGTGCACTCGTTTCATACCCCTCAAGTATTGGAAAGCCGTACCAGTAAAGTCAAATTGATTCGACAGAGTGGATGGTCGATTGACTCGACGGTGATGCGTATTGTGGAGTAAATTCCTCGTGACTGTCTCTACCGATGATTAGGAAACTTACAGAAGACAGCAGAATCTATGTAACAACGCAGACTCGCGAAAGCTTTGGCAGTTCAATGAGGAGCTTGCAGCCTCGGCTAAAACGACCCCAAAAAGACTTTTTCTTAAGTGAAGAGGCGCCTGAGGCCGGGAAGTGACTTAGCGATGTTAGAGGGTATTGAGAGAGTCTTTGACCACCGGCACTGAACAGGCGTCCGCGTTGGCGGAGCGATTGGCTTCCGTATTTACAAGTATGCGTGCGCCTATGCCGAGCTCGACGGGTACAGCCCCTACTGAACTCGTGGGCCTGGACTGCAGTGAAAAAGATATCCGCAGTGTACTCTTCAGTTATGACAGCAGGAAAGCTGGGGGACCAGATGGACTTCACCCGTTAATTGTAAGGTCCTTATCAGCCATCATCACAATTACCGTGACGGAACTGTTCAACAGACCGCTGTCCAGGGGTGCATTGCCGAGCGACTAGCAATGCTCGGCAGTGAAGCCGATTCCCAAAGACTGTGACCCAAGCAATATGGACAATTACCGGCAGACTTGTCTCATCTCTGTTTTGACGAAGGTTCTCAAGAAGATTGTGAAAAAGGGACTTCTCCAGCTACTAGAGTCGAAAGATCTCCTAATGCCGGCACAACGCAGCTTCATGAAGGGCCGCTCGTGCATCATCAAGCTGCTGTTGACGCGGCAGGAAGGCTTGAAGGCGTTGAATCGGGGGAAGTCATTGGAGGTTAGGTACATTACTTTAACTAAAGCATTCGATAAATGGAACTTTGAGCTTCTGCTCCATAAGCTGGGAATGTATGGTGTTGGTGGCGTACTGCACTAGTGGATCGGTGACTTCCTTATTGGGAAAAGATGGCAGGTTCTGGTGGATGACAACCTAACGGAATGGTACCCGTCCACTAGCGGCGTGCCTCAAGTCACAGTAGGGGAGTCCATTTTGTTCTTTATCCACATAAACGAAGTACCTCAGCTTCTTCGGTCACCCTACGCATTATTTGCAGAAGACCTGAAGATTTGGAGGGTTAATGATTCACCCGGTGACTGTGGCGTCCTTCAGCAGGACCACGACCGCCTATCTCTGTGGTCCGAAGTTGACCTACCGGTCAACTCGGCCAAGTCCTCGTTTATGAGCCTGGGGAGAGGTAGTAATGGGCGTGCGTACATCCTGGTCGACCACCAGCTGCATCCGACCAGTTCTGTAACGGATCTAGGCCTACTCACACTCTGGGTACTGGAGTCTGTCGACAACACGAAAAGACTGTACACAAGCGGACTACGCCTGCTATGGGCATTTCGAAGCAGTTTCTGCACTTGGTATGAAGAGATTGCCATCCGTCTCTTCTTTTCCATAAGAATACCGGTGCTTGAGTACGGCTCATCCGCTTATTGTCCGATCACAATAGGTGTGGTGCAGGGACTGGAACGGGTCCAGCATGTAGCTACCCGGCTCATCCCAAGTTTACGGGGTATGTCGTACGGGGACCGATGTAGAAAACTAGGACTTTACACCCTGTCATATCGTCGGCCTTGAGTGGATCTTATTATGACGCACCGGATATTGCACTTGGGCCACTTCCCTAAGTTGAGGCCGCTGCTGCAAGTTCACGCACAAAGCAGCACACGCCTACACCGGTACAAACCAGTGGTGGCGGATTTAATACACATCGCTCATCCTCTATGCTTCGAGCGTCGAGTGGTGAACTAGTGGAACAAATAGCCGCAGACGCTAGTCGAGGCGAAATCTTTGTCGGAATTAAGGAGATTCCTTGAGGCCTACTTTGCGGACTACAGGAGCGTATCACACCCGGATAAGATGTATTGCAGCAGCGATTTGCTGCCACCGCGCAGAAATCAGCTACCTGATTCTGTGCATTTGCCCGATCCACCTACGATGGATCAACACAGATTATTTTCTTCTTGCTTCCTATTCTCATTACTCAGTATATAGTATTCACACCTTATCATGGGAGCTACATTCTTTTAAACTCACATCTCTATCAAACTTTATATACCTGCATACACTGTCAAGCAATGGCTGTCAGAAGGGGCTGCGAACAACGCGGTTCACGGGAAATTGTTCACCTGAACAACCGCTGCATTATTCAGGGAAGTACAAGGGTACCCCATGACGCATTCAGAATTATGCACTAGTTCGGCTGTTTTGATTGGCATATCCGCTTGTGTTAAAGTACGGGTGCTGACAGTATGGAGTACAGCTATGCAGCGGGTAGTCGCCACTAATACTATCATTTAGCACATTCATTCGAATTTTCAACTGTAAACCAACTGACCCATTGGTACATGCCAAGGAAAAGTTGCGCAACACAACTTGTCATTAACAGGGAGAATCTTGCACGGCATGAAAGTGACATCCACTAAGGTATTCCCTTAGGACAACGGTATTAATATGAGGGGTAGTGGTACATTCAAACGCCACACTTTACCTCACGTATACGATATTAACAGTCGCAAAGTTCGCATGGTTATGATGTCTGATGCCTGTCGATAATGTTGTAACTAAGTGTTGTGGGGCGTTATAGTAAACTAACGTTTAGAAATAGGGGTCCTGATGCGCTCAGCCTTAAACTTACTGTTTGGAGTATGTGCAACTATACGTGGATAACATGAACTATTGCACCCGTATCTTCCGCCAACCCTCCAATCATAGATGTGTGCTTCAGTCCCAATGTAGATGAATACCGGTCGGCAAACGTATAGTCAATTCGCATTTGTTTGGGACCTGGGAAGACAGAAATAGGATTATTCGCATCTCTGGCCTGGTAGGACAGCCCGACGGA